AAGGTTTCACCCAGTGAAGGAATCGAACCCGGGTCCTCTCGCTTGCGAGGCGAGCATACTAACCACTATGCTACGGGACTCCAAATATCTATTGTAGAAATAATTTCTCTACCTGAGAAAGTCCCTGGTTCAGTGGGCAATTTGTCCAGATTAATGATCCCTATCTTGTCACAATGTACAAAACTTTCCTAGGTCATCTCAAAGTCTCCCCTTACAAAGACAACCGGTCCAAATTCTGAAAGCATTCCTCATCACTTGAATTCCTGATACCAGGAATAATCTACATTGCTCGTCTCTCCAGCCTCCTGTGAGCCCTAATATGCCTCCTATCACTAGTGACATTCCCAGGTGTTCTGTTATTCTCTAAGTAAAAATAGTAAGTGACTGAACAAGTTTCAGATCTTCTGAGAATTTTGGCTGAGTTCCTGTAGAAACTCTCCAATCACCCTATTCCAAGACTGGCTCACGTTTAAGCTGTTTTATTACCATGTCCATGTTAAGCTTTTTTATGTAGCACTGAACAGGAGAACCAGAGGACATGGCCTGCGCTTGAAGGGGGTAAATGCAGAAACACTACTTCAGTGAGCAAATAGTAAATGTATGAAAAGGCTCCCTTGGGAGATGGTGGAAGCAGAAAGTTTTGATTCTTTCAAGAACCAATTGGATAGATTTCTGTTAGGAAATAATACCTTGGGATACAGTATATAGTTTGGGATACGACATGTGCATGCGACTCCCAGGATGGTGGAAGGCAAACTGGATGGACCTTGGTCTTCTTTCGCCTAGCAAATTGTTATGCTCTTATTGTTAGAGTGCTCTCCCACTGAAATTTCTCAAAGTGCTTCAGATTGTAATAATAATAACCCTTGCATTTGATATAGCACCTTATCACGTCATTGAGACATCTCAAAGTGCTTCACAGAATATATTGGGAAGTGGATTGACTCTATTTTGTGGGAGAAAGGCGGCAGCCAATTACACAAAGCAGTGTCCCATAAGCAGCCGTGGATTTTTTTTTGAGGAATTATTACACCCCCGGAAGTGACCCGACAATCGACTAACAAACAGTTTCTTACTTACGGCTACGTGAACAGAGGCATGTGGAGTAAAGAAACTTGCCTATGGTTTTGTCATGCCCGAGAATCAAACCCGGGTCCTCTCGCTTGCAAGGCGAGCCTGCTAACCACTACGTTACAGATCTCCATGATGAGTTTTTCCTCCACATTTGTTGGAGGAATTGTTAAGCTCTAAACTCCTTGGAAAAACAGCACCTTCAATGGTGCCCTCCCTCTCAGCACTGCGCTGGGGAGTCAGCCCTGACTGTGAGCTCAAAGTACCTGGATTGGGCTTGAACCCACAACCTTGGGATCAGAGCTGATAGCTCCACCTGCTGAGCCAAGGCTGAAATTCTACGTCAACCCCTGTGGTGTACAGTGAAGCTATTTGTCAGATGTTTGCTGTTCCCCTGATTGAAGGCAGTCGAGCGTAGAGTCCAGCTCCCTGATGGATACCGAGCAGGTGTGAGGGACGGGATTGTAACGGTGACTCACACCAGCTGGGAGACAGATCAGCCGTGTCAGCAGAATAGATGTATTTGTAGATTAACAAGACGCCGGGGGTCAGTTTTCTCCCTCAATAAATGTCCTGTGGCAAATGAGTGAGGGGGGAACGTGCTCTCGTCGTGACTGTATGTCGTTACTTGTGGTTGGTGAGATGGACAGGGCTGGGTGTGTGGTGTCTGCCTGGCATCTTGCTGATCATAGAATCCTACAGCACAAAAGTAGGCCATTTCTTCTGTACTGTAGGGACTAATATAGTGCTGTAGGGAAAGAGCTATCCAATCAATCCCACTCCCCCACTCTTTCTCTATAGCCTTGCAATATTTTTATTTTCAAGCAAAACAAATATTCAATTTCCTTTTGAAAGTTATTATTGAATCTGCTTCCACCACTCGTTCAGGCAGTGCATTCCAGATCATAACAACTCGCAATGTAAAAAAAAAAAATTCTCCTTGTCTACCCTCTGGTTCTTTTGCCAGAGCACTGTTTCAGGGGTCCACAGGCAATGGGAGTCCTAGTTCCTCACCCAATCAAGTAGTCTGTACCCGGGCAGTGGGCAGTTTCACCCACAAAATATACAGTCAATTCACTGTACAGTATATTCTGTGAAACACTTTGCGATGTCTCGAAGACGTGATAAGCAGCTATATCAAATGCAAGGATTATTATTGTTATCTCAGCTTCTACCCTCACCTCACATGTGCACAAACTTTCTGTTGGGAAACTCTCGGCAGGTCGACTTCAAGATCCTCACAGCTCATGTACAAATCCCTTCACACCCTGGCACCTCCCCACTCCACTACGTGTTGCCTCCGCTCAGGCTCCAGCTGCTTGTCCCTCGTCCCCTCCGCTCCACCATCGGCGGCATTGCTTCCGGTGACTATGCACAGAAGCTTTGGAACTCTCTTTTAAGCCCTCTGCCTTGCCTCCCCATCCCCCACTTTCAGATCACAACTGGAGACCTTCCTCTTCGACCGTGCTTACAGTAACCTCCTTCCTAGGCCCAGCTTGACATCAGACTCTGCCACTGTTAAGCGGTCTGAGACGCCACCCCATGTATATAAATACAAGTTTGTTGTTGTCTTGGAGCAGGAGATATAAGCTCTCTCTCTCTCTCATCCTCTCTTTCTTCCCTCCAGTCTAGAGGCATTCTTTGGATGAGACGTTAAGTCAAGTGCTTTTTCAGGTAGACGTCAAAGTTCCCTTGTTACTATTCAGATGAGAAGGGAGTTTCTCCTAGTCTCCCCAGATAAATTTAATCACTGTTTAATCATGGCTATTTAAGGGATGTTGCTGTGCACAGATAAGCTGCCATGTTTGCCTACAAATAACAGTCACTTTACATTAACTGCTTTAATGCACTTTGAGAGGTCTCAACAATGTGATAAGGCTTTGTATGAAATGCACAGATTATTATTATTGCAGCCAGAGGTCCGGAGCATGACTAGCTTGTGCTATTTTCTGTTGGGAGTCTCTGGTTAGGTCTTGGAGCAGGAGTCATTGCCCTCTCTCTCTCTCACTCTGGTTTTCTGTCTCTTTCTTACTTCGCCCCCCCACACCCACACACACCCGTCTGGAGTCATTCTTCAGATGAGATGTTAAATCGAGATGCCTTGTGTGCATTTTCAGGTGGATCTTAAAGTTCCTGTGACACTATTCAGATGAGAAGAGAGTTTCTCCCTTTTTATTTGGGGCATTATTGGCCCACCCATCAAGCAGGATTGTCTTCCTTGAAGAATCTTGTGTGAATCCTGTGTGGTGTGTGTTGAGATTATAGCTGTCGTGTACTGTGTTGTGTTAGGTTAAGGGAAGGCTTTATGTGTGCCAGGCTGTGAATCAGCACCATCTCCTCCAGGGCAAAGAAACAAAGTCTACTTGCACAGTGCAGTTTGTTTCAGTTCAGGCTCACCCACTGTGTTGCTAATGCTGAGTTTACAATGTGTTCGCTCACTATTTTACACACGGATCATTTCATTATCTTACGCAGGATGATTTTACGATCTTACAAATGGTTTCACAAATATATTCTGGGTGAGCTGGCAAGACGCGGAGCCCTGTAGCGTTGTGGTTAGAGCACTCACCTCGCAAGAGGTTCCCGGCAGGGCAAAACGTTAGGCAAACTTTCTTACTCCATGTGCCTCTGTTTACCTAGCAGCAAGTAGAAACCTGGTCGTAAGTCGATGGGCGGTTCGCTTTCTGGGGGTAATAATCCCTTCAAAAAAAATATGGAGTGAGTGACCAGATTTATTTGGGGGATTGTTGGTCAGGACACTTGAAAAAACTCCCTTCTCTTTTCGAACAGTGTCACGGCTTCTTTAACATCCACCTGAACAGGCAAACGGGACCTTGGTTTAACATCTCATCTGAAGGATGGCATCTCTGACAATATAATACCCCCCACAGCACTGCTTTGGAGTGTTAGCTTAGACTATGTGATTCCAAGTTCTGACGTGGGGGCTTGCACCCACAATCTTCTGACTCAGAGGCGAGAGCACTACCAACCGAGCCAGGCTGACACACTATCTGCCTCTCTGTGAAGCGTGTTGTGTTATTGTAGGAGACAGCTCCTACAGTAGACTGAGTAGGGACAATGTCTCACTGTGGCTGCTCTACAGTATTTGCCTAATGAAAGAGACACCAATAGATCCACACTTTTCCCATTGCATTATTATGGCTTGTTTGACACAAAAAAAATTCCCGACGCAAAAATGTTGCACAGTGGTGTTATGTTGTACATGTGTGCCTATGTGTAAGTGCGTCAGTTTACCTGGATCTATGTGTGTACCTGGTGAGTTTGTGAGTATCTGCCTGGTTGTGTTGTGATACTGTATTGATGAATCTTTCATGAAAAATGAACACTCCTTCCAGATAAAATTGGTCACTCACTCATGGCTGTTTGCAGGACATTGGTGTGTGCAAGTTGGCTGATTTATTCACCCTACAAAATACACAGTCACTACACTTTACGGTAAATCCCGTGAAATGATTCTCAACAATATCAAATTTGAGGATTATTTATTATTATTGTTAATAGTAATGTTGCTGTTGATCTCCAAAGTTTCCATATATTCATGTAACTTTCTAGTTTGAGAGGGCCCATGTTCGAATCCCAGGCAAGGCAAAACCTTAGGCAAGTTTCCTTACTCCACACGACTCTGTTTACCTAGCAGTAAGTAAGAACTCGGTTGTTAGTCGATTGGCAGATAACTTTCCGGGGGGTAATTATCTCTCCAAAAAATAATTTGGTCACTCAATCCATGACTGTTTGTGGGACACTGATGTGCGCTATTGGCTACCATGTTTCACCTACAAAATGCAGTCAAACCATTTCACAATATTTTCTGTGACATCTCAACAAAGTGATAAGGAGTTATATCAAATGTAAGGATAATTGTTATCATCTGGAACAGCAAATGACCAATCATACTCTTGTTTTTGCAGATAACCCCAGGCAGTAAGGCAGCCCAGGCAAACATCAGCCAGGGGGATACCATCATAGCCATCGATGGGGTCAGCACAGAGGGGATGACCCACCTGGACTGTCAGAATAAAATCAAGTCAGCCAAATTCGCCCTGAATTTGAACCTCCAGAAGTAAGTGCACTGAGGTCTTGTAGGGATTGTGTGTTATGTGCGTCTGTATGTCTGTGCACACGTGTGTGCCTGTAAATCCACGTGCACTTGTGTGCGTGTCTGTGCCGAGGAGGGATATGATTGTTCAGAAGAGATCAGTAGATAACCTGGAAACCTCACTGTCGGGTGCAGTTTATGAGCTCACAGACCAGGCTGACACTCCAGTCCAGTGCTGGGGGACTGCTGCATTGACAAAGGTGCCGTCCTACAAAAAAGATGTTAAACCAAGGTCCGGTCTGCCTCTTCAGGTGGACGTTAAAGATCCCATGTCACTGTTTGAAAAGAGAGGGGGCTTCTCGCGGTGTCCTGGTCGACAATCCAACAGATAAAATTGGTTGTTCATGTCAAGGGAGAATTTAATCTTAATAATAATAATCCTTACATTTGATACAGCACCTTTCACGTCGGGAGACTTTCTCAAAACGCTTCACAGGATTTACTGTGAAGTGTAACGTGTGTGTGTCTTTCTTGTGAATGCCAACAATATTGAGTAATTGGGTTGGGGGGTGAAGGCTTCTGAGAGCTGATAAAAACTGAAACAGAGAAGCAGAGTATTATAGGCAATAGTTAGCAAACATGAGATTGGGAGGGATTGGACTAGCTGGTTCATGTGGCAAAAAAGACCAGTACCTTGGCCTAGCCCCCCCCCCCCCCCCCCCCCCCCCACACCTCCCCAGGTGCCCCACCAAGCCAGGAGTTACTCAAACTCAAGCAGGAGTAGGCCATTCAAACCCTCAAACCTATTCCGCCATTCTATTCGATCAGGATGGCAACCAGACAGCATGTGCGGGAACAGAGGGGAGCAGTTGTGTTTGTGTTGTTAAGTAACCCAGCCCTGCGGATAAGGCCTGAGTATTAAATAAAGTGTTTGTCTATCAATATTTCAACGCTGCCGTGGGGTGGTGTTACTGTCAGCTGCAGGAGATATGTTAAGGTTTCACATGGCAACACCACATTTGGACACATTCTGAGTGTTCTCTGTTTAAATATTTAGAGGACGAGAGAACTCCCTCGAGGCCCTTCTCCAGACAACTTCTGACTCACCCTTTGGCTCACACCCCCATCTTATTATTGGCCAATTGATTCTCAACCTCACCTTCGCCAATGGATTCCTCTCCAAAGTAACTCCCCGCACTAGGTGTAAGTGCTCTGAGACGCTACACTGTGTGGAGGGCGCTATATAAATGCAAGTTGTTGTTGTAGATTGGCTGGTTAATCGGATTTAGCCATTGATCAACCCAAAATAATCGTTCCATTTGATATAGCGCCTTATGACATCTTTGAGACGTCTCAAAGCGCTACACAGAATATATCATAAAGTGAATTGACTTTTTTGGGGGGTGGGGGAGGGGAGATTATTCCCCCCAGAAAGCGATCCGCCAATCGACTAATTGTATAATTATACAACCTTCCCTGTCAAAATCAAAATTATAGGTACCAAGTAACATCAAGCAAGATGAATGTAATTTATCCTAATAATTAATGTTTGACTTTGGATGAATGAGCCTCCCATGAAGTGAAGTGGTCACCGTGAGAGCGTTGTGTGTATGTATGTGTGTGTGTGTCTCTTTCTGTGTGTACGGATGTGACGCACTCCTCTAAAGTGAGGAAAATAGTTGGCAAAGGAACTCCCTGATATCTCCTTCCCCAAAGGCTTTAGGATTGTACATCCCAGGACTATCCTCTATTACCCTCCCCCCGCCCCCCACCCATCTCCACTCTGCTGTGTCCTGGCTCTAACTGTCCTTAGATCGCTGGTGCAACCAAGGACAAGCAGAAGTGAAATATATTCTCTGGAGCAGTGACTCGGATTTACAGTACTCATCACTCGGATTCCTCCCCCCCCACCCACCCCGGTGATTGTGAGCAATGCCGGAACATGGGGATTTATTGCCAACTATGACATTGTCCAGAAGAACTGCCCCACCATAGCCAAAAAAAACTCCAGGGAATGTGTCAGACCCACATCTCGGCCAAAGCGGCACTTGATTGAAAGGCTGGAATCTGCCCTTGGGAGGCTGGCTGGTTCCTCTACGCCCCAGGTTAGCCCCATGTTGCCCCAGACTGCCCTCTGCTGGCTGGCCGGAGGAGATGGACAGGCCTCTGAGTTAATTGGTCAAAAGCAGCAATCCTGGATTCCAATGATTTGCATTTATATAATAATAATCCTTGCATTTGATACAGCGCCTTATCAAGTTGCTGAGACATCTCAAAACACTTCACAGGATATACTGCAGAGTGAATTGACTGTAATTTTGTGGGCGAAACGCAGCAGCTATTTACTCAAAGCAGTGTTCCCCACAAGTCGTAGATTGAGTGACCAAATTTTTTTTTTTTTGAGTGATTATTACCCCAGGAAAGGTAATCTGCCAATTGACTAACAATGGGGTTCCTACTTACTGCTAGGTAATCAGAGGTGTCTGGAGTAAGGAAACTTGCCCAAGGTTTCATCTTGTCCAGGAATTGAACACAGTTCTTCTCGTTTGCGAGGCGAATGCTCAAACCACTATGCTACGGGACTGTGCTACAGCAGAGAAACTGGCCACTCAGACTATTCAGTCTGTTCTGGTCTTTTTCTCCACATTAAACTATCTAGTTTGATACAATAAATGGTATATAGGAGATGATTAATTCTTGCCTTGATATAGCACCTTATCAAGTAATTGAACATCTCAAAATGCTTCACAGGATATATTGTAAAGTAATGTCCCACAAACAGACATGAAGCGAATAACTGATTTTATTTGGGGGATTGTTGGCCAGGACACTGGGAGAAACTCCCTTCTCATTTACAATAGCACCATGGGATTATTAATGTTCACTGAACAGACAGATGGGGCCTCGGTTTGATCTATTCTTATAAATACGTTGATGCACACTGCTTCACACACAGCTTCCGGCACATTCTCACCACTTTTTGCATGAAGAAGTTCCTCCTAAACTCTCTCTTAGATCAGTTACTGACTATCATATTTACAATCCAATACAAATTTACTATCACTTTTACTTAGTTTACTTTTATGTCTTTTATGGCCTTTCATGTCGGGAGATCCCAAAGCACTCCACAGGTGGCTACCCCATTTCGCCCACAGAATACACAGTCACTCCACTTTACAATACATTCTGTGAAGTCCTTTGAGACCTTGCAACAATGTGATAAGGCGCTGTATCAAACGCAAGGATTATTATAGTACAGTCCTGACTTAGCACCCGAGCTGGTGGTGGGGGCCGAGGGGGAAGGGAAAAATGACTGAAGGAGCGGTCAAAGAGGTAGGTCTTGAAACAGGCTTGAAAGAGGTGAGGGAGGGAGCGAGTTGGAGGGACATTGATTGATTGATTGATTGATTGATTGATTGATTGATTGATTGATTGATTGATTAGAACCTGCCTATTCTTTGCTCTTCAGATCAAAACGTCCAGGGCCAGTTCCTACTGCGACTCCTCACTTAATTTCCCAGATGCCAGTTATCCCTCATCAGAAGGTAGGGTCCGGGCCACTAGGCCACATTAGTTCTTGTCTGATTGATCGCGTGCGGATTCCTGCTCAGGTTATACACAAAATAGATCAGCCTTTGGTAAAATCTTTGATTTGAAGGAGAAATTTATAGCAAAGTGCTGAGTTAGTCAAATTGCACTCCTCACATGCTTTGTGTTTGTCTCTTTCCTGGTATTTTCTGAAGTTCTGTGACTAAAGAACTTTAAACATTCAGGGGCAACTCTGTCATATCTCAGTCAGCTGGGTCTGCAATTTCAGAATCTATCTTCAGCGATAGATAAAGGTCCGACTTCCTGGTCGATAGGTCACCGCTGACGTCACTTCCTCTTGTTGTGCACAATGCGTAGGAAGTGATGCTGATGTCACGTCCTTTGTGCAGGAAGTGATGTCAGTGGTGACCTGAAAACCCAGAAGGCAGCCATATTTTAGTACAGGAAACCAGCCAATCAGCACCAGAAACTGCGTGTACTGTGCTTCGCGGGTCATGAAATGTAAATGAAACGGCGCTCAGCTGGGGTGTGTTTTACCAGGGTTGCCATGGGCAGTGCCGGTAATCTGCCACCGGGAGGACGCCTGGCATTCCAGCAACTACAACAACTAATTACATTTTTATAACGTCTTTCATGTCGGGAGAACGTCCAAAGGTGCTGGGCAGTCCAGGATTCAGATCGGGAGGGGTGGAGGGCATGGAGGGTGACCGAAGATGCAGTCAAAGAGGAAGCTCTTGAGACATGCCTTGAAGGAGTCCAACCTAACAAACCGCTTCACTTTGTTCTTCAAACGGTTTCTCCTCTCGCCCCCGCCCGATCACCTGTGGCGTACCCCAGGGCTCCATCCTTGACCCACCCACCCCCACCCCCTTCCTCATCTATATGCTCCCTCTTGACGATGTTATCTGCAGACACGGTAAACTTCCATACGTACGTGGGTGACACACAAATCTACTTCTCCTCCTCCAGTTGCGACTCCAGGTCTGCCGATGTTCTGTTTCCTCGTCTGGCAGACATCAGGGCCTGGATGAGTGCAAACTTCTTACAACAAAATGTTGACAAGACAGAATCCAATTATTCCCTGAGCCTTCGCTCCCTCATGGTCCATCTGCTTTGCTGCAGTTGGATGTGGCCCCTGGGATAAAGAAATTGAAGAGAATTTGATCAGCATGGGTGATGCAGTGAAAAGGGAAGCGAATTAGTTTGATGCTTTGCACAAACTGCCTGTGGATGAGAATTGTAGTCCGTTGAAAGGTTTAGTCAGTGTATGTTAAAAGGCAACCATCCTCAATTAAAAGCAGTGGGACTTTATTTCCGGTTTGGGGTTAAAAAAAAACTTTTATTTATTTTTACTTATTTTAACCTACCTCTTTGACCCTCTTAAGTTATAATGGAATCTGCTGTGATATGGTGCATTGTAGATTTCCTGCTGCACCGCACCTTGTGAGCTGCTCCAGCCTTCTCTCCTCCAGGGCTATGATCTGATCTCAATGGACAAGGAACCTCAAATGTAACGTAGAAATGGGGGCATCATACACAGTACAAAGCCATTCTCAATCCTGTTTCCTAGTTTTCCCAGTTAGTCTGAACTTCGCGAGAGGTAAGATGGTGAAAATGACCCAGCTGGAAAAGTGCTCTTAACATTATTGGAAATGTTTTCAGACCATCAGTCAGCCCGACCTGGAACTGAGGAAATGCAACTCACTTTGAGTAGATAGCTGAGGGGAGGGCAGTGAGGGAGGTTAAGTTGTTGTAAATGTTCTGTGGACTGATAGACAACACTGGGACTTCAGTTCATTGCTCGAGTTTTTGTAATAAATCCTGTTTGCATTTGATTCCAGGTCATTGCATTTTAGGCGTTAGACAGACACCTGTTTGTCCTTTCCTGTCGGTGGGGAACTTTCAATTGGTTGTTGCTGTAGAGTAAGACTGGTCACACGACATGTCTCACTGTGTGACTGTGACTCCTCACTGGGGTCCCTGAGGTTTTCAGGTGGTATTACAGGGGTTAGATCCAGTCTGAACACCTGGTTAGTGGTATCTTCTGGCATTGAATAGATATTAAGGTCACATGCCTGTCACACGCCTGGTAAAGTCAGGTAACTTCGCAGGTTCTGTTGAGCGGAATATCTACCTCTTCAATGGGACTGGTATAGACATCTCCCGAATCCTGTGAAGCAATTGGTTTTAGAACGCTCCCTACTGCAGTATTATGAAACTCCCCGGTGTCGAGCCAACTCAGAGGGCATCAATCCAGCGACTTGGACACTGTGATTGGATTTCCTGAGTTTTCCAGCTAGTGCCTTATCCTCCACGCCAAAAGACCTACTCTTCAACCGTGCGTACGGTTTCCTCCTCCCTCCCCCCAGCTTGGCATCAGCCTTAGCCACTGTTAAGCGCTCCAAGACACTGCCCTGCATGAGGAGCGCTATATAAATGCAAGTTGCTGTTGCGGGTTCCTATCTTTAGTGAGAGCTGTGGTGCTGGCCTGTGCTCTGGTCGGTCTGGCTGAGTTACTGCGTTCTGTTCTGGAAGACATTTCTGCATGTCTACGGTCTGTGTAGTTTGTGCTTCACCAACCGGTGCTGTTTGCTTTGACCTGAGGCAAACTGTATTTGCATGTGATTTGTGATTATTTCCTTTTCTCTTCTTTTCCCTCTCTTCACACTCTCTCTCTCTCTCTACCTTTTCACTCTTTCTTGTGCTCTCTCTCCCCTCTCCTTCTCACAAGCTCTCTCTCATCCTCTCTCCCTTTCACTCCCCCCTCTCTCCCCCACCCCCCTCTCTCTTTCCGCCTCTCTCTATATCCCTCATTTTTCTCTCTCTGACCCCATATCTCTCTCCCCTCTCCGCTGACCTCATATCTCTCTTCCCTCTCCTCTGACCCCATATCTCTCTGCTCGTCTATTTCTCTCTCTCTCGCTCTCTCTCTGCCCCCTTTGTTTGCATGTTTTATTGCTGCAGGAACCGGCTTTCGATGTCCCCCCAAGAGGCATGATCACAGGGTTGATGTCTTCGGTTGCCGCCTGGCCGTCTAGTACCCCCGCTCGGCACTCTGGTAACATGCCGGCAGCCAACGGGACCCAGGAGAACAACCTAGCTTCCCCCCCGCAACTCTTGCCATCACCCGGACCCTCGACCTCCATCAGGACTTCGCAGTCCTCTCCAGCTGTTTTCCTGACCTCCAGTCTCTCACCTCAAACAGGGGGCAACCTTACTAGGGCAGTGACGGGTGGCTTTGCTGTGGCTAGTGTTAGAGCCAACACGTCCAGCCCTAGCCAACGCAGGCAGTACAACAGCCCTGTCGGCCTGTACTCCAGCCAGACTCTCCAGGAGATGGCGAGGGCCGTTGGCTGTATGACCTCGAGGGGCAGGGCCTCCATGGGTGAACTCCTCCACGGGTAGGTACTGAACAAGCAATGCAAAGTGGGCGAGAGGCCATAGCTCCTGGGGTGTGAGGGACAAGTTTAGGGCAGTCACTGGGGAGTGCTTCCCAATACAATTCCTTATCCAACTCGACCAGGGGTTAGGATGAAGCGTCAAAGCCAGGACACTGAACTCATTTGGCTGCTGGAATAGGAGGACATTGGATGAGGGTTCTAGAAGATGAGATCAAATGGCCGAAGAACCTTCTACACCCGAACCTCTGGTGAATTCAGACGCAGCAGATCTTATTTATAAGTTGCACGCTCACCTGCTATTTTACTGGCAAGTGGCTTCAGATAATCATTCCAAGCAGGGAGTGGTCGCCTGCTTAATGCATCGTCTGCATTTCCAGTGGAGCTATGAGTCTCCAGGGTCGGGCACGGTGGCAGAGCAAAGCCCAGTGCACCGTCAGAAGTGCCACCTTCCTTTCTTTCTTCTTCACCTGAGAGGTTTTGGTGAAAGTGTGGTCGCTGCTCTCAACTTAATTATGGAGCATTCACTGCTCACATCCAGATCGTGCTCGCTGCTTAACACAGAGTTCCCAGGCTTTGACTTCCAGAAGCCTCATCGGTCAGACTTGTACCAACAGTCGCAATATTCCCAGCAAACGCAACGTGTCTTAGAGGGATGTGCTAGCTGCAGGATGCCAGGTCGCTATCATCCTCTCTCTCTGCATCCTAGGCTTAAATGCAGTCAGATGGACAAAGCCGCATCTCTTGCTCAAAGGGCATCTCCATATTTGAGGGAGGTCACAGCTGCTTGGACTCTCTCCCCAGACTCACAGGAACATAGGAACATAAGAATTGCTAGTCGAAAAAAGATCGAGGTCCATCTAGTTTGCCTTCTACCATCATGGTAGTCACATGCTACAATAATGGAGATGTTGATGGCAATTCATTTTGTATGGATTAGTGTACAACAAGATTGGAAACTTTGTGAACCTTAGATCCAAAATTACCTGGTTCTTGCAAGCATTCTACATTCCATGACACCCATTTGAAGGGCTCAATAACTCGAGTCCAAATGCAGATTTTTTCCAAGATGAAGACATGAATCTTTTCCATCTCATTTGATTTACAAGCTTCACAGGATGTACAACCACCAAAAACAAAGCATATTCTTCCCATCCTTGACATGAAAGACGCTGTATAAATGTAAATTATCGATATATTCTCCTCTCCCCCCCAACCCCCAGCTTTCTTCCTGGCTCCACTTAAGTTTTGTTCCATTTAAATTTTCTCGAATCAGAGACATTCCTGATGGATTCATGGAAACATTCCCAATGCCTCAGTTCTGGCTTAATTCAGATCTCCGATGTGTTGTGTCTGCACTATTCTGCTGAATCAAAAGGGACAATGGTTAACATAACCGCTGGGAGTGTGTTACAGGCCGGGATCTAATCGAGGGCTTTGGAGAACAATATCAGCGTTGATGACTCAGAGAGTTCCTGGTTTTGCTTAGTGTCAGCTGGTTTGCTTAGGAAGTTTGCTCAGTGTGTTGTCAGCTCTGGTCCGCGTTTGATTGAGCAGTGCGTTCATGCATGATAGAACAGTGCATGTGTATATTTGATTTGGGTGAGCATGTGATAGTACACATGTGTGATGTTGCAGTGCACATGTGTGTGAAACACTGTTTGCAGTGGGCGAGCTTTTCTTGGTAATACTTGGTGGAGTCCTGTAGCGTGTAGCCTCACAAGCGAGAGGACCCAGGTTCGATTCCCAGGTGGGACGAAACCTTAGGCAAGTTTTCGTAATCCACACAGTTGTTTACCTAGCAGTAAATAGGAACCCGGTTGTTAATTTTACAATATATTCATTTTGCAATATATTCTGTAAAGGGCCTTGAGACGTCTCAACGACGCGATAAGGAGCTATATCAAATTCAAGGATTATTATTAGTAGTAGTAGTAGTATTAGTAGTAATGCTACAACTACCACCAGACTGGGTGTGGCTGATGCTCTGTTGCTATTCACCTTCTCCCTGCAGAGAGTTGAGTTCAGTACTTATTATGAGCGAAGGTAGGAAGAGAGATGCGAAGGTCCCATGACTGGCCAGGGCCATGGGGCAAGACACAAGCTGCAGGTGGAGAGAGAAGATCAGACACTCTCATACTGAGTGGTTAGAGCACTCGCTTTGCAAGTGAGAGACCTGAGTTCAATTCCAGACAGGGCGAAACCTTGGGCAAGTTTCCTTACTCCACACGCCTAATAATAATCCCTCCAAAATCCAAAAACAATAATAAATTGGTCATTTTCAATCTACGACTGTTTGTGGGACATTGCTGTGCGCAATTGGCTGCCGCGTTCGCCCACAAATATACAGTCAATTCACTTTACAGTCTATTCTGTGAAGCGCTTTGGGACGTCCTCCCGACGTGAAAAGCGCTATATCAAATGCAAGGATTATTATTATTATTGATTCTGTGAGGATATAGGAAGATTCAATTTTGCTTGATCCCAAGTTTCTTACGAACTATGAAGAACGACTAGATAATCTGAGGCAAGCGAGAGGACCTGGGTTTGTTTCCCAGGCCACGTTTCCTTACTCCACACATCTGTTTACCAAGCAGTAAATAGGGGTAATAAGCCTTTTTTAAAAAAAAGGATTTTTAAATAATCCTTTGGTCACTCAATCCATGACCGTTTGTGGAACATTGCTGTGTGCAATTGGCTACCCTACAAAATACACAGTCAATTCACTTTACTACAAGAACAACAACTTGCATTTATATGGTGCCTCTCATGCAGGGTGTTGTCCCAGAGCACTTGACGCTAGCTGGGTGGAGGGGGAGTTGACCATAGACACAGTTGAAGAGGAAAGTCTTGAGGCATGACCTGAAGATGGGGAAGGAAGGGGCAAGACGGAGGGATATTGGAAGGGTTTTCCAGAGTTTCAGGACCTAGTGGCTGAAAGTGCAGCCACCAGTGGTGGATCGGAGGGCATGAGGGACATGCAGAAGGCCAGAGTCAGTTGAGTGGAGGCAGCGGGTAGTGGGTTGGGGACTAAGCATGAAGCTATTTGAAAACGTGTGTTGAAATCGATCCGTTCGGCAATAGGGAGCCAGTGGAGCCTGGCTAGAATTGGTGTGATGGGCGTTCGGAGTTTAGTTCAGTTGATTATGTGGGCGGCGGAGTTTTAGATCAGCTGGATCTTGTGCATAGTGAAACTTGGCAGATCGGCAAAGAGGGCATTTAAAGAGTCAAGGCGGGAGGTAACGAATGCATGGACAAGTGTTTTGGCTGTGTCCTGGGTAAGGTACGGACAGAGGTGGGCAATGTGGCTGAGGTGGAGGAAGGCAGTCCTGGTCAGGGACCGGATGTGGGGAAGGAAGGACGGACATCTGGGTTGCGCACTGATTGAGTGAGTCTGAGGAATAGGCCAGAGAGGTTGAGGAGGTCCGAGCCGCAGGACAGAAGACACTGACAGGAGCCAAGGAGTATGGCTTCCGTCTTGTTAAAATTTAGTTGTTAGAAATTTGCATTCATCCAGGCCCTGATGTCTACCAGACAAGCCGACAGAACATTGGCAGACATGGAGTCGCAGCTGGAAGAGGAGAAGTAGATTTCTGTGGCATTCTTATATATGTGGAAGTTTTATGTTTAAGGAGGACATCGCTAAGAGGGAGCATATAGATGAGGAAGAGGAGGGGGCCAAGGATGGAGCCCTGGATACGCCACAAGTGACTGGGCAGGGACAGGAAGAGAAACCGTTTGAAGAGACAAAATGAAGGTGGTGTGTTAGGTAGATCTCGAACCAGGCTGGTGCAGTCCCACTAAGGTGGATGAGGGAGGAGAGGCGGTGGTGCAATGTCAAATGCAAGGATTTTTTTATTGTTATTCTAAATGGAATTGAGAAAGTAAACCAATTTTAGGATGGACACCAGATATTTTCTTTGCATAGAGGTAGAGGTTCAACAACTGAACAGGTGATGGAGGCTTGGCTGCTAGACTTTTTAGTAACAGCTTGATAATGTTAATGAGATGATCAAATGGGCCAAAAGGTTTCTTCATCTGATCTTCCCTGAACATCTCACTGTTGCATTCTAACTCGGGACAGTCAGGTTTGGGCCATTGCCAGTCTGGTTCAGTTATTAGCACTTGTGCCTCTGAGTCAGAAGGTTGTGGGTTCAAGCTCCACATTTGGACTTGGAACTTATTGTCTAGGCTGACGCCCCTAATTCAGTGCTGGGGGAGCACTGCAATATTGGAGGTGCCATTCTTTGGATGAGACATTAAACCAAGGTCCCGTCTGTCTGTTCAGGTAGACATTGAAGATTCAGTGATCCTATTGAAACAACAAACGGAATTTGTCCCAGTGTCCTGAGCGCAAATTGACTGCCAGTGTCGCCAAACACACTTTAAAGTAAAATCCTGTGAAACGATTTGAGACGTCATGACGACATGATAAGGTACTATATCAAATACAAATGGCGGAGAGCGAGGTACCTTCAGCCCAGTCCACCTCCGTTGGGATAGGGTTGTTCTGTTTGCTGTTGCCTTCACTCAGCCCAAGTCCACAGACTGTAGACCATGCAGACAGATCCTATGCGGACAGGTAACCTGCAGGATTGGGTCCAACCAAGGAGCTAGGTGATGGATGGCCACCTCCACACTCCAGAGTGGAGATGGGACATCTTTGTAACATCTCGCATTCAATGAGACATTGGGCTGAACCTTCTGGGGAAGGATGTGTGCTCCTCCAGAACGAAGTGGTTGCGGTATTCTCTCCAGTCTCTAAAATTATCCCAACGTTTGCAAAGCAGGGATTTCTATTCGGGAAAAGCTGTGTCGACCAAGCAGCCCACATTTTACTTCCAAATATAGCCACTCTCTCAGCAGCTGCTGGTGTAACTGTAGCAGGGGTAGAGGAGGGTTATTTCAGACTATCCGCAATGAACACCAAACTTGCCACCAGCCCTCACCTACCTCATTACATGGAGGGGGAGCTCAGAGCCCTGGAGAAAGGTGCTAGAAGA